TCTACGCACTCCTGCGGGAGTATGCAATCATATTTATCGACAACGATAAACACATAATCATTATTCAACAAGCAAACACGCCTGCCAATCTGGAGGCCCGTCCGCCCGCTTGAATGTGCTTCTGTCTGGGAAGGGCTAAGGAGGTGGGGATAGACTTGGGCGGCTCTCCCTTTCATCGTGTGCATCTCGAATGGGCACAAGGCCCTATCAAATGTTAGAGACCATTGAACATTCGGATCAGAGTTTATTAAATGCAAAATTCGCCCCCGTATATCTTACAGATTTATTGATATTGGCGTTCGTTTCTCTCGCTTTCGCTCTCTCTCTCTCTCTCTCTCTCTCTCTCTCTTTTCACTTTCTCTTTTTCTCTCTTTCTCCTTCTCTCTCTCTCTCTATCTCTTTATCTATATCTCAATCTGCAGTCCTTTTTATTATTGAGAATTGTTTTCAATTTTCAATCTCTCTCTCTCTTCCTCCCTCTCTTTCTGTCTGTCTCTCTCTCTTTCTCTCTCTAACGATTTATCTATCTCTCAAATCTGCAATTGTTTTCTTTTCCTTCTCTCTCTCTCTGTATATATATATATATATATATATATATATATATATATATATATATATATATATATATATTTATCTTTATACATACACAAAACATTCTTACCCCATCTTTTTATCTCTTTATTCTCTTTATTTATATCAATATCTCACTCTCTCTCTCTCTCTCTCTCTGTTTCTATTTTTCAGAAAGGCTCATTTTATTCTTTTTTCAGTCTTTCCTTCTGTCTCTCTCTCTTTCTTTGTCGTCTATCTGTTATATATATATATATATATATATATATATATATTATATATATATATATATATTCTTTTTCATTCAGTTCTTGCATTCTTTCTTTCTCTCTCTCTCTCTCTATCTATCTATCTATCTATCTATCTTAATAAGCTCCCCATCTCCACGTTTCTCAACAACTTCATTACTCTCTCTCTCTAATCTCAGATTATTTCTTGGCTTCTCTCTATCTCTCGCTATCATCACTTTGACTCTTTTCAGTCGATTTTGCTTCTTCATTTTGCTCTCTCTCTCTCTCTCTCTCTCTCTTACACACACACGCTCTCTCTCTCTCACTCACTCACCCCTTCCTCTCTCTCTCTCTCTCTCTCTCTCTCAAACACATTCTTAAACATTTTATAAGTGCTTTGTTTCTATCTCTTTCCCTTTCTCTCTCTCGCCTTCTCTCTCTTTAAAAATTATTTCTCTCCCTCCCTTTCACTTCGATCTCTTCATCTAATCTCTTTCTCTCTCTCTCTCTTTCTCTCTTTCCTGTGCATCACTTCACACGTTTGGGATAATCTTGTCCCTGTAGGAAGCAAATCTTCGGCATATAATTCATCATAACGTAGCAATCTATCCACCATCAAAGATACCGATACAAAATATTTACGTTTCCATTGAAATGCATATACGTGAGCACACACATGAAAATTTTCATCACTAGGCACATATAAATCTTTAAATACAGTCACCCATATAAAGTAGATGAAACAACAAGAAGATATATATATATATATATATATATATATATATATATATATATATATATATGTCATAAGCATATATCCAACTAAATATGCAAAAACAATGTATTTATATGTTAAGTCGCATTCATATTTCATATTTGCATCATTTATTTAAGAATACGCATTATCGACCCACGTTGGCTGAGTAACTTACCTACCCACCTGCCTAACACCTATCATATATCATATATATATATATATGTGTGTGTGTGTGAAAATATACATATATTCTGTATGTAGTTATAGTGTTTATTATACAAGTGTAATTGTTTCCTGCAGGTAGCAAAGTCATTTCGAAATGTAAACAATAAATATGGTTAGCTCGTAATCCGCCACAACGTATATATTTTTATTCTAATAAATATATTACTCATATGCTTAAAGCATTATGTATATATCTAGACACACACACACACATATGTACATCTATATCTATCTATCTATCTATATATATATATATATATATATATATATATATATATATATATAATATATATATATGTAAATATAAAAGTGAACATAGAAGTCAATCTGCTACGCTCTATATCTGATATTGAGCACTTTATTCCATAAATATAGCACATCTTAAGACTTTATTTCTTCATATATATATATATATATATATATATATATATATATATATATATATACATGTCTAGATAAGTCTAGATTACATTTCAAAATTGACCGAAAAAACCAAACAATTAATTTTTTTTCTTATAAAATAGATAGATAGATAAAAGACCATGAATAGGATTAATATTTTTTCTTATAGATAGATAGATAGATAGATAGATAGATAGAATAGGATGAAGATAGATAGATAGATAGATAGATAGAAGATAGATAGATAGAAGATAGATAGATAGATAGATAGATAGATAGATAGATAGATAGATAGATAGATAGATATGAATAGATGAAGATAGATAGATGAATAGATAGATAGATAGATAGATAGATAGAATGAATAGAATAGGATGAAGATAGAGATAGATAGATAGATAGATAGATAGATATGAATAGGATGAA